AGACAAGTGACAACTCTGTCACCGGTTCTGATCCAAACAGCTGACGCCCATAATCAAGAGGAGGGATTGCTCAATCGCGCACTGCTTCTGCAGTTACGTTTCATTTGCCAAAATGCAATGTAGCTGAAACCTAGAATATTGCGTTCACTCCTCTGAATTGATAACGCGTTGCAAGTAGCAGTCAATGAAACTAACTGGTTTACTTAGGTTCACTCTAACCAACAGTGTTCTAGTGATGGCACGGCATAGGTCAGTCCACAAAGTCACAGAAAATACCCGTCGGCACATAGAGCGACGCGCGACAACTAGGTCGCGTGATTTGCACGATGTGAACAACGCCAATGATCAACAGAACGGATAGAGCAGTCTTTCACTGCTTGCACAGACCTACTGAATTCGCGCGCGCACATTGTCGTTTACACCTTTTTCTCTGACAAATTGCTGCAGTAGGCTACTAAAGCTATTATGTGTTTGAGGAATACGCGCTTGCCTACACTTATCCAATAATAAATGAAAAAGCCTCATTTGTGCTAGACTAAACAAGGCATGCCAACGGTGACATGCTCAAATAACTTCAACTGTACAGACGTTCAATGGCAACTTTAACAGTGACAGTCGAATATTTTTCAGACGTTCATTGCTAAAACTACATAAATAGGACTGAAGTAAAAATGAAGAAATCCCAGGAGCATGAGGTCGGGCACGTTCGTATAGGCATAATCAGACTGCCATATATTGTAATAACATTTAGCCACGAATAAAATGAAGAACTAGCGCTGAACAATTAGCATCGAACTGATGAATAACAAGCACAAATGTGAATGCACCATACTCTGTGTTCATGTGATAGTTGCATAGAGATCAAAGATGAATAAGCAGAAGGGACGTGGCGGCAAAGTATGCAGATAGGAAAGTGTCGGGGCGTAGCAGAATTGTGGATTTGTGGTCCTCGTCAGCTTGCTAATGTGTAGGAACGGTCAGTAAATTTATTCCTTAGTGCGTTACGTCTCAGATTAGTTAAACCGATATTTTTGGCTTTTCGTAGGGAAAATACTTGCCATAAGAAAACCCAACGCGTCCTGGAAAACGCCGTCGATCCATGTGAACGGCAAACTGTAAATGGAATTACTTTTATTGATCATTTATTGGTTCCGTTAGTCGCAGTCAAGATGCATTCATAAGCTCTGCTTGCAATTGCATGATAAGCGAGAGACTGGTTGGTCTATGGATCCTGTCGTGTCTTGACGGAATGGCACTACCCGTTCGGGAGATAAGGCATGAATTGACCACATTTGGAAGTTATGTAGGTTTCCTCTGTAAAACTGCGGAAGGTTCCCCTGGAGTATCTAATATAACATGTTGATGTAGTATTATTGAAGCACGGAAAATGGCCGAACACAAATGTTCAGGCCCAAATTTGTCGCAGGTTGTCAGGAATAACGAAAGGGAATAACTGTCGGGTTAGCTTGTATTGATTAGAAACGGCCAAGTGGATAGAGACCGTAGTGTGAACTGCTCCAGGTGGATGATAACTGAAAAGTCTTTCTCAGGTTAACAAAATGGCCGAACTTAATTGTTCTGTTCATATTGAAAGTTAGCATTGTGTTTAGATATTACCAACTTGGAGGCATAGCAGTGTCTGAAAATTCAGCTCTCCGAACTCAGGCAAAATGTTTGCTTTGGCATTAAATGTCAGTGGGTGAGCTCCGGGTACAAATTACGAACATAAGGGCTGAGCTGGACCCAATTGTCCAGGCCTCAGTATAATGGCATCCATCCAAACCAACAAAAAGTATGTTGTCCAACCGGTAAGTAATAAAACAGCTAACTATCTATCCGTTTCCAGCTAAAAGTATATTATGCTTTAGTAGTATTGAGGTCAAATAAATGGACGTTTCCTCTGTTGCTGACTAGCGATGCTGTGGAAAACTCGGAAACAAATGACAATGAGCAAAGGCAGCAAAACACAGACAACCGCTGTGCATCCGAAATTCAGTAAAGAAAGAGCAAGGACAAGCGCGCTTAAACTAATGGACTATACATAATATGCTTCATTAAAAAGCAAATATCTCACGTGCATGCGTTCTATAAACATTCTTTAGGTTAGCCAAAGCATGATCGGTGACGTCTCGGTGGACTGAGCGGTCGGAGTGCAAGTGGCCACTGCCGCGAGACTGGATTAGTCAGCGGATTGAGTCCAAGCCGTACAACTTAGTTGGGAAGACGAATGGTGAGCGTCAGCAAATATTAGCAGGTTAGGGATGAAAGAAGCTATTTTAGTAAGGCGTAAGCACGTTCAGCAAGCACCTTGGGGGTGAAGGAAACAGTGAGTTTCATATGAAACACTTAGGTCAAATGTATCTTGGTAGAAAGAATTCAGTCAGAAAGCAGCTGACTGGTCAGGTAGAAATAGAACAAGGCAGGTCAAAGTTTTGGCTGTGCAGATAAAGAAACGCGGGGACCACGATAGGTAAAGTACAGGGTACGGATAAGAAATACTTTATTGATAAAGCGTTGAAAGGTCAACGTGGCTCTCGGGGTACTGTGAACAGTCTAATGGGTCAGCCGAACCAAAAGATATAACGTCCATAAAGTCTTAGTGAATTCGGAGAACAGGAGGCGGATCAGGCGAGACTGGATTAGTCAAAGCCTTAAGTTAAGACTTTAAAGAAAGTTGGGAAAAGACGGTATAACAATAAAGCGTGAACGAGTCTGGCGTCTTCTCGAGGTAAGAGAAACAGGACGTTGAGCCTGCAGTACCTATACCGCTTAAGTCTCCGTAGTACAGGAGCTGCCAGAGAGAAATAGGCTGGTCGGGTGTGGCTAGGTCACGGCAGCGCAGTAAAAGCTTGCCCTCGGGTCAAAGAAGGAGGGTTAACAGAGTGCGCTATAAGAAAATGTTGGGGGCGGGATAGGAAGAGTTTACTGACGCCGAGTGGAACGCTTACGGGGTTCTCCGGGTAATATAAACAGATCGTTGACTCAGCAGAAAAGTGCGGTAACGTCTTGAATGTCTGAGTAAATTGGGAGAACAGGTGGCCGAGCTGGTAAGACTGAATTATTCGGCGCGTTATGCTTAGGAAGTACAACGAAGAGGGGAAAAGAGGCTATAACATAAAACGGTAAACAAATCTAGAGGTCACTCGAGGTAAAGGAACATAAGGTTGAGTCTGCAGAGCCTATACCGCCTAAGCCTAAGTAGCATAGCAGCAAATGAATAGGTTGACCCATCAAGGCACCCGAAGGCCCAAGGACAGATTATGGACACAAGGATGACCGCTTATCAGCTTTATCAACTACGGTCCAAGTGACGGCATTTGCCAAAGTTTAAATCATTGGGAAACGAGATTCACATTGAGATAGCACCTTTCAATACATTTTCATAACGCGTGCTTCTCAACGACCATGCAATGCTAGGTAGCATATGTGTAAGTCACGGTAAACAACGCTGGTTGGAAGTCGGATAGTTTAACAGTCACACAATTACACAGTACAACGTGTGACAGCAGAAGCACATAACCTACGGAAAGACAGACGGGTAGATAGGGATTGCGCAGTCATCGCGTTTGTACTACGCAATCGAGTTTTACGTTTAAGAGACATTTTGCAGTGGCACGCGCTGGTTTGCCAAATCGGTTACATTGGCTTGATTGCGATGTGGTCTGAACTTGTCTGTCGCCCTGACCCTCATTGCATACAAGTAAATAGCTGATTTTCTGAATAAAATCCAATGCATCCAAGGTGGATTACGAAATGTAATATTTGTTCTGCAAAATGTCCAGCGTGTTTCGCAAAATGTTCAGTGTGGCTTGCAAAAGGTTACTGTGCTTGGCAGAAGGTCCAGCGAAAAGTGAAAATAGGGTAGATATATTTATATCTACTACATCAGTTACAATCGTTAGTACATTCACGACCTTCTGTAGATATGATTGAGATGGGAATTGCAGCTGGTATTTAAACGGACTTTAAACATTTTACCCGCTTATCCGGCAACCGATTGCAAATTCAGTAGTGCGAGTAGGAGACAATAGGCTTTAGTGTATAAAATAAAAACGTTGCAGTAACTTCTGTCTTTATCTTTTGGCGTTCTATTTTCGTCTGCATCTTGAATAAAACGTTAAGCGGTTTCACTCCAAACGACTTTCATTTTAGTTACCTCTCCCAGAAATCTTCACTGGAATACTATAATATGTTAGGATAGTATTTTACATAAGCGCGTAATTTCTTAAGTAAGCAACTATTTCATTTTACTTGCTAATGTACCTGTAGCACTTGGTGGCTCGTTGCAGTTAACGCGATTATTGCTGAACGTTTATGAAGTACTGCGTTTTTTGTGCCCTTGATGCATATGCACACGTCGCTTTGTCATTTATACAAGCAGTAACGCCATTGATTAAAGGATACAAAATTCCGGTTTACAGTTTAACTGTGATCAGTTACTATGTACATACGTTTCGTAAAGGGCATTTTGCAGCCGCAATAAATGACGAGTGTCAATTACATTTTTT